CTTTACAACTTTGGGGGGGTGGGGAGGAGGACTGGGTGGGGGGTGGGGGGAGGATGGGAAGGGATGGGAAGGGGAAACAAAGGAGGAGGCTACAATGCTTGATAAAAAATGTACTCATGATCTTGCCCATGTAATTGTAACCACTCTGTACAGTATTTTCACAATAAAAAAAATGCACTCAAAAAAATAAATAAAATAAAACATGTTAGGGTAAGCAAGGCCTATTGACTTCACTTTAGGTGATGCCTTTATCTGGCTTATTAGGAAAAAAAGACGGTTCACGATCAAATATAAGGCTCCCTAAAATTCTGTATAAGTCTTTGGGAAATTATTTGGATGAATGTATACATTTGAATTTTACATAAATACAGACTAGAAATTTTAGTTTCAGTGACCCCACATTTTTAAACTCTTGATTTTTCTCATTTAATATAATCTTCACAAGTTTTTTCTTGAATTTGACAAGTCTCATTAGAATGAATGTAGTTTTACATAACCATGTGGAAAATTTTATGAAATTTTCTATTTTATTTCCTACAATTTTGTCATACTATCAGTTTTTGTACTGAAACCACATAGCCCTAGAGTAGAGGAGTCAGGACTAAATTCCCTTTGGATTTTAAATATTGGACTCATTCCACTATATCATACTCTTTATAGGCTAAACTAAATAAATCCAATTTTAACTTTTAGAATGTTATAAAAGGTATAAATATAATTTTATAACTTCTGACATGCATGTGCTTATTTGATTCTAAAATAATATGAGGTAATATTAACTTTAAAATAATTTTGTGAATAGCCATTCTTGTAAGTATAAGCTTTGGTTGCTTTTTCTTATTAAAGTAATTTTAAATGCCTAATTATAATGGCAGAATTATTGACCTCTTACGTTATGCTAAGCCTTTTACATTCACTGCATCATTAAATTGTCATAGAAAGCCCAGACTAATCTGATTTGGGCCATTTTTCACTGCAGTTCAGTTCTCATACCTACTTACTGAGTTGAACCTTTGTGTTATTCCAGAACTAGTAACACTGCTCCACCATCAGGGAACTCTTAGTGTTACTCAGATGTTTTTTGTTTTATACTTGAGAGAGGAAAAAAATAATGAAAGGAAAAAAATCCAAAACAATCCCCAACACATATAGATAGGCATGAAACTGTTTTGTTTTCCAAAAATGCTAAGCAGAGTGGTAACAGTTACATTTTAGCATATGGCATGCTGTGTTTCCAGCTGTTTGGGTATGTTTTACTAAGTTGTATCAGACCTGTAAGGGCATTGTAATGGCTGGTTGCCTTTTTCTCCACGATTCCAGTCCTCCCAGAAGCACCAATCTTAGTCCAGATAGTGTGAATCTTGATAGGGAATATTTCAAATAGGAAAGCAAAGCATCAGAAAAGAAACTACAGGTTATTCCTTTCCCTCAGTGGTTTCTTTGAAAACATGCACTGCAGCCAAGTTGAAAGACTAGTTTATCCAGAGTTCTTCATGGTTAACATTTTGTAACTCTTCTTCTTAGTCTCTTGGAGTCTTTATATGTGTATAGAGTGGTTTATAAAGTAAGCTTCAGAAAGGTATGTATGTGCATACCTACTTAATTGTTTTTCTTGATGTTTATTTTGAGATAATTGTTGTAAGAGTAGTCTATGTGCTCGTTACATGCATTATCCTTGGGGAGAATGCCCTACAAAACCATAGTACATCACAACTAGAATACTGAGATAGAAAACATTCCCATCACTACAAGTATCCCTTGTGTCTTAAATATGTTATATAAATGGAACGATACAATATGTAAGTATCTTAATTCGGACTGATGTAACAAAATATCATAAACTGGGTGCTTCAACAATAGATGTTTATTTCTCATAGTCCAAAAGTCTAGGAAGTTTAAATCAAGGTGTTGGCAAATGTGCTTCTTGTAGGGACCTCTTCCAGGCTTGTAAAACACTGCCACCTCACTGTAGCAGAAGGTGCTGATGCTTCCTTATAAGAGCACTGATCCTTTTATGGAGGCTCTCATGATCTCATCAAAACCTAATTACCTCCTAATGATCCCCCAAAATATTGGTGTATAATAATTTACTAAGCGGTTTTGTTTGACTCTGGTATCTTGCACTTGTATATATTTTAATCAGAATAACATCTCTATTGTCATTTTTCCATCTTCTCTAAATCTATTCAACAGCTTTCAGTAAATTTCCTTATGCAGTCCTCATATACAGACACAATGTACTTCAGTATTAGTCACCCTCTGTCATTCCCTTTCCCTCTCTTTGTTCCTGGTTATCCCCTCAAAGAGTCCCATAGTTATAATCATGTTATATAATAATGTGTGTATATGTCAATGAATGTGTGTCTTCTAGGTTTCATAAATGAGTTACAACATGTAATAGTTGTTTTTTTGAGCTTGCACTCAACATAATCTGCAACCGATCCATTTTTCTGCAAATAACATGATTTCCTTTTCTTTATGGCTGTGTAATGTTCCATAGTATGGATATACTATATTTTGTTTATACATTAATTGCTTGATGACCTCCAGCATTGCTCTTTTTGCTCATGCTTCCATATGATTTTTTGGATTTTTTTTCTGATTTCTGCAAAGTGACACTGGAATGAAGTACTCATTGAATATGTAAGTTGCTTTTGGTAGCATGACTATTTTCATGTTTTGCCAATCCATGAAACATCAGATTTTCCTGTCTTCTGATGTCTCCGTGGATTTCTTCCTTCAAGATTTTAGTTCTCATTGTAGAAGTCTTTCACTTTTTTGGTTGAATTTGTATCTAGATATTTAATTTTTGTGTGTCTATTGTGAAATGGGTTATTTTCCTAATTGCTTTCTCAGCTTGTTCTTTTTTGGTATATAACAAAAGCTAATGGTGTTTGTATGTTGATTTTTGGCTATATTACCCAAAGGGTTTATCTCATCTAGGGGATTGTTTGTGCAGAATATTGTGTCCTTTAAGTATAGGATCATATCATCCACAAAAAGAATAATTTGACTTTTTCCCTGGATAAATCCCCTTTATTTCTTTTTCCTGCTTTATTGCTTTGGCTAGGAATTCCAGTATTATATTAAGTAGGAGTGGGGAGAATGGACCTCTTGTCTTGTTCCTGACTTTAAGAAACATGTAGTATGATATTGACTATAAGCTTGTCATATATGGCCTTTATCATGAGGTATATTCTTTCTATTCCTAGTATCTTCAGAGCTTTTATCAAAAAGGTTGTTAAATTTTGTCAGGCTTTTTCTGTGTCATATAATCGTGTGATTTTTGTCTTTGTTTCTGATTTTGTGTTATACTGATGACTGTATGTTACACCATCTTTGGTATATGATTCATGGGGTATGATTTTTTATAATGTGTGGTTGAATTCTGTTTACAAGAATTTTACTGAGAATTTTTGCATCTATGTTCATCAAAGAGGTTTTCCTATAATTTTCTTCCTTCTCCACTTCTCCTTCCTTCCTTTTTTCTTTTCTCTATGTTTCTGTCTTAATCTCTCATTATCCTTATCTAGTTTTAAAGTCAGTGCAATACTTGCTTTATAGTATAAGTTTAGTATATCACATCCCTTTTTATTTCATTTAAGGACAGATTAGTGGTGCTAATTTTTTGAAAGTCTGATCAAATTTGGCAATTAATTCCATCAGTTCCTGGATGTGGGCTTGAACTCAGGGCCTGGGTCCTGTCCCTGAGCTTTTTTACTTAAGGCTAGTTCTCTACCACTTGAGCCATAACTCCATTTGACTGTTCCCCTTGAGCCATAACTCCTTTTGTCTTTTTTTTTTTTTTTTTTTTTGATGCTTAATTGGAGATTTTTTTTTGCCCAGGCTGTCTTTGAAATACTTCTGAGTAGCTAGGATTACAAACATGAGCTGCCAGCCCCTGGCTAGAATCAATTTGTTATTTTATTGATATAGGTTTAGTTTTTTTTCAAAGACCAAGTTTATGGGCTGGGAAGGTGGCTCAGTAGTAGAGCGCTTGCCTTGCATGCATGAAGCCCTGGGTTCGATTCCTCAGCACCACATAAGCAAAAAGGAAAAAAAGCCGGAAGTGGCGCTTTGGCTCAAGTGGTAGAGTGGTAGGCTTGAGCTGAAGAGCTGAGGAACAGCGCCCAGGCCCAGAGTTCAGGCCCCATGACCAGATCCAAAAAAAAAAAAAAAAGACCAAGTTTGTGTTTCATTGATTCTTTGCATATTTTTTGTCTCCAGTCTATTAATTTTTTCTCTATTGTTTATTATTTCTTTCTGTTAATTTTGGACTTGGCTTGTTCTTCTTTTTCTGTTTGTATTTGTGTGTTTGTATTTGTTTTGGGGTCTGACTCTGGGCCTGGCCCTCAGCTCTTCAGCTCAAAGTTAATGCTCTACCACTTGAGCCACAGCACCATTTCTGGCTTTTTCTGCTTATGTGGTGCTGAGGAATTGAACCCAGGGCCTCATGCATGCAAGGCAAGCACTCTACCACTGAGCCACCTTCCCAGCCCTGTTTTTGTTTTGTTATTTTTTACTGGTGTTATTTTGTTTTTGTTTTTTTGGGAGCTTGAGGTATATCATTAGGCTATTTGAAAGTTCTCTCTCTCTCTTGCTCTCTCTGCTTATAGCTATGAATTTTCCTCTTAGCACTGTCTTTGCTGTGTCTCAAGAGCTCTGGTAGGTTGTATTTTGTTTATTGAGGTCCAGGAATTTTCGTATTTCCCTTCATATTCCTTCAGTGGTCCACTAGTTTTTCAACAATATGATCCATCTCCATGCAGTTAAATATTTGTAGTTTCTTTTCTTTTGCTGCTGGACTGTAGATGAATTCCACTATGGTTGAAATTTTTCTATTTTGTTTTTCTAGCCTTTCTGTAGGTTGCTGAAACATTTTCTTCAGAATTCCACTTGCTTATCTATAGTACTTCTTATTTTTATAGAAAGACATGGGGAATTTTAATTGGTTGTCCTTTAAATACTTCTCAGTCTTCATTGTTTTATCAGTCCTCGTGAAATGTAGAGGACTTCCCTGCCCATATGTCTTGTTGTCCTCCCCTACTTATCATTGTCTTAAATAGTTCCTCTCCGTATATTTTAGAACACATAAGATAGTATAATAATCATTTTGCATCAACTACAAAACATAATATACAAAATTAAGGAGGAAAAGGGAAACCAGTTGTACTTAACAGTATTTTCGGTTACCACATGTTCTTCTCAGTGATTCAAGGTTGTCCCTTTTTATTGCTTTCCTTTCTGTTTAAGAATATTCTTTATCTATTGCCCTTTCATTCCTAAAGGATATTTTAATTGGATGCAGCATTCTCGGTTGACAGCTCCAATTTTGTTTTTTAATCAGTATTTTGGAAAGCTATTCCAGTTTTTCTTATCTCTGTGTCACTATTGTTACTGTTGAGAAATCTATTGCCTCATTATTGACAAGTGAAGAAAAATGCCCAGAATCCCACTAGGTCTCCACTGACATCACCCTGAGAGGGTGGGGTAGTAACTCATTATCCACTTGGAAGGACAACCTGGCCTCCTAACTGCCTTCTAGAAGCCATCCTGGGAATCTGGAGCTCTTTATAGCATTCTAGGTTCCACATCCACAGTTCCACACTTGGCTTTGATAATGTGGGTATGGTTGGACAACAGGCTTTTTTTTTCGGAAGCGGGGGGAGGTACACTGGGTATTGAAACCAATGCTCACGTGGTAGACAAGCACTCTCACTGAGCTACATTCTGCCTTTCTCTAGTCTTTATCTTGAAGTAAGATCTTGCTGATTTATCCAGGGTGGTCTCAAACTTGAAATCCTCCTGACTCTGCTTCTGGAGTAACTAGGTCTACAATCATGTACCACTGTCCCCAGCAACAGGATTTTTGAAGGTATTTGGCTGGAGTATAATAGTTACTGTGTTATTGTCTAAACATTTTCTATCTTGCTAAGGTACCTACTCTTTTACTAGAGATGGCAAGATTCTGTATTTGGTGGCATTTATAGTTGCCAGCTTCTTTAGCTAAGTGTGAGATCCATGAGGCAAAAGGAAACACAGGAAGTAACCATTGTGGTATTCCTTAGGCTTGAGGGTCTTTAGCTTGTCTGTCTTCTCTCCATCGTTCAGGAGGGAAGAATCACCAGGAAGCATGTATTTGTTTGATCAAGGTGGTGTCACAGATCTCTCTGCATTGCAAAGGTATCTTTTTCTTCATGTAATTAAAAAGTAAATTATGAAGTAGAGACCATTACTCTTGAAAATCCTTAAAATCAGTGAGTTAAATATTAATTTTAAAATTAATATTGTAAAGCTCTTTTTACAACAGAATTCCCAGTTAGTTCAAAGAATGATCACCTTTAGGCAAACAGCACCACAGTAATAGCTGCCACAGGCAAAAATGGATATTAATCCTAGTGGGATAAGGATGATGAGATATTTGCATAATCTCAGATACCTCCCACAGGAGACACTTGCTAATTTCAAAGGCATTAGCAGTGATTTCACTGTGGAGAAACTCAGTAGACCCCACCTTATCAAGTGATCAAAGATGACATCACCAGTAATAACATATTGCCCATCATGTCTATGGAATTCTTGCCAAAATTTCTCAACTCATCTTGAGAAAACACTAGATACATCTGTTCAGGTCATAAACAAGTAACTGAAGAGATTAGAGGGGACAGTTAATCGCAGTACCTCATGCTAGATGGGGTTCTGGATTAGAAAAAGGACCCTACTGGCCACCGTCAAAATTTGAATTCAACCTGTACATTAGAGCTGTTTTGGTGCCAGTTTCCTGCTCTGATGACGATTCTATACTTAGGTAAGTGGGTAACATTAGTGGGAGCAGAATAAGCTGGAACTGTATACTAGAAGCTGTTTCTGTAATTTTTCCTCCAAGTCTAAAATTATTTTAAAAAAAAGTACCCTCCTCTCCTTTTTTTAAACCTTCTATTCCACCATGAAAGTCACTCAGATAAAATAAATGCTTTCAATTCTTTTTGTTTAGATAGAAAAACATTCTTTTATAACTAAGTGAAGTGCTAATTTGCATAAGAACCAAACCTCTAACAGAACAAACTCCTTTACCCTCCTCTTATTCTGAAGCCAAAATGCAGTTTCACAGAGACCTGTGCATCTTTCTTTAGATCTTATGACCACATACAATTTCCATACTTGCCAGATTGTGAAGTACAGATGCTTTCTATGAAATGGTTTATTCAGTCAGTAAATTCTGTCCAGCACTTATTATGTGGTAAATACTGTTTTAGGATACTAGAATAAATGAGTGATCAAAGCAGTCAAAACTATCACCCATCACCAAACTTAGATGAAAAAATAAGCATGTGTTTCAAGTTTGCTCATAGTATATTAGGTTTTTTTTTTTTGTAAAAAAAAAAAAAAAAAAGAACACTGGAATGCCAGAGCTGATGGGGTCACTTTCTCTACTGTACTTATTTATTTTCTAGCCCATTTTTCTACTTAATCATTTATCTTTTTCAAGGTATAGCTGTTTTATATTATATGTTCAAAGCATGTTTATAATCCTTCCACATTGGAATGTAAACTCTATGTGAGAAAGGGCTTTATCTCTTCTCCTTCTAAAGAACAATGCCTGACTTGTAGTAGGCCCTCATATTCATTCAGTGAATTCCTTCACAAATGCCCACCAAAATCCTGCACTTGATGTGATTTCTTGCATTCAGTGGAGGACCAGAAAAAAAATTGATTCATTAATATACAGGCTCAGGTTATGTACAGTGTATTTTACTGAGCAGCTTGCGAGAGCTTTTCATACTTTTCTGGGTAAGACTGAATTCCCTTAAAACCCTAGGAACACATCTTGGTTACCTGTCACATTGAGGTTTGTCTAGGGAGTCATCCACTTATATTTCCATTTAAAATATGATAAAAATGCTTTTTGAAAAATGAAAAACAAAAGGAAAATTCTATTTCCTTTCAAGCTGTGGAACTTTTATAGCTGAATATCTTGGTTATGTTACATTATTTATCCTTCATAGAAAAATACCCTTTTACTGTTCTCATTTTTTACTCTCTGATATGTTACAATGTGTATTAGAAATATCAGTTTCTAACATGTTACTTCTAACCATCTTTCATTTTTATATTTTGAACAGTGTTATTTACTTGTCTACTATACCGGCTGGCGAAATGTCAAATCATTTTTGACTTTTGGCTTAATCTGTCTGTGCAACATGTATCTCTATGAACTGCGCAACCTCTGGCAGCTGTTCTTTCATGTGACTGTGGGCGCATTTGTTACACTACAGATCTGGCTGCGGCAAGCCCAGGGCAAGGCTCCTGACTATGATGTGTGATACCATCCTTCAGATATATTGCCTTGACTTCAGGAAGGAAAGTAGCGGACATATTTTAACTGCCACTGTGATGATGAAACAGATAACAACAAATAAGAAGCTCTGAATTCTTTCTCATCATCTTTCCATTTCTTATAAATCAGCATGGCATGCCTGTGAGCGTGCAAAACCTGCTAAGAAAATTCCTTTCAGAAGAACACAGGCAGTGAAAATATCATGAGGAGAAGGAAGAAGAGCCTTATCTCTTCGGGGCCATTGCAGCGGAAGAACAGGCTGATGCCGCTGGAAGGAAGACCCGGCTGGTGGTCCAGAATTCTCCCCCAAAGAGTTCAATCAAAACCTAGCCATGGAACTTTTTCTGAGGACCAAGCAGGAATGCTACAACCTGAGTTTGCCTTTGTGAGGCTTTACTATAGACTAAATTATAAGATGCTGCAGAAATTGGAAAAGTTTATATTTTAAAACAAATTGTGCTAAATATCAGATTATTTGCACATTATAATACGAAGAGATTATGAAGTCTAGAGTGGTGTGGAGTTGATTCTTTATGTTTTTGCCTTAGTCCTAATTCTGGAAATCATTGACATGGCAGGAGAAGGCTGTGGTGAGATCATCTCTAGAACAGCACAAGTATTGAGAAGAGTGATATATTTTCCTTTGTAGACCACATTTGTCATTTCTTTTGAAATTGCTTTTTAAAAATATGATTTATTAGGTGATACTCATTGCTTCCCAAATGGATCATTTTGAGTACTAGACCATAGTGTTGACTTAACACTTACCTTTCAAATTTTAGAGTTATTTTAAGAAGAAACAAATCCCAATCTAAGTTAAAAAACAAACCTGTATCGCCTTACCCTAAATAAAAGATAACTACAAAGTAAAATTAACACAGGAAAAAAGGTTACTAAATTCTACCTAGATATTAATGCCTGCCAAGGCCCCCATGTGGATCACATGGCATGCTCTTTGTAATAATGAGAGATGTTACCAGCACCAAAATGAGGTTCTGGCTGTGGAATTATCAAAGGATAAAAGGAAATTATGGAGGGAGTGTCCCTTTCCCCGTGCTCCAGCATTATTGAAAACTTGTGTTGACCCCATCTGTGTGCCACCAGAGGTGGCCCTGTGCTGTGGCAGCCTCAGACTGTGCTAAGAAAATCAGAAGGTAACTTGCCTAGCAGCTTTGCTTATTATTGGAAGGTAAGCATGCAGTGTTTCTGAGAACTTAATTTCTGGTAACATTTAGAAAGATTACTATTAAGCCAGTAGCAATTAATAATACAGGAAGTATAGCATGATTCTGTTATCAGATTCTCCATCTGTCCTGATTTTAGAAGTCACCTTCATAAGAATTTTTCTTTTTTAAAGATTTCAAATAAGGAATACATTGGGTACTAAAATTTGGTATCATCCCCACCTATGGGCCCTGTTACATGTAATTTATATTATTGAACATATTTATTAAGTAAAAGAAATAGTCTGGAGAGTTGTCATTCAACAGCTTTGTTGGACATGTGGCCATGTCTAGAAATGCCTATTTAACTAGAACCTTTCCTGTTGCCTCCTTTTCAGAGAATAGGGCAAAAAGAAGGCAATAAGCTTATGGCATCAGGGAGTTGTTAAAGGCAAGTTTGTTACCAGTAACAAAGCTGCATAGAAATTATGTGTATCTGAGATACCCCAAGGTATCATATGATTCTAAATTATTCAGCAGTATTAAATTATGTTTGATAGTTTGCATTTACTGAGGCAGCAAAGCAAAAGTGCAATTTAGAAAGGGTTTCTAAATTAAAGGTTCCAACAGTTTTCTTGTAAGTAGTCGATTAACCCAGGAAGTTGGAGCATTCTAATTAACTGTGGTTTTGTTGAGTATTGATATTTTATAGCTGTCTTTCCAGATTCTTTCAGGAACTATCTCATTAGGTGATGAATTTATAATGTTTCATATTTGTATCCATTCAAGAACACTTGCAAACCTCTTACCAGTTATTTTTTTAAACTTAATATTTTTTTGTTTGTGTTTTTCTTATCAGCTTCTTTGGTAAGAGGACATTTACACCTTAATGTAAAGAATGAAACAGGTATAAATAATGTTTTACATACACAGGTGCTTTCTTTCATTATTTGATTACTTCATCTCTGAGATTACATTGCTGTCAAAAGAAATTATAAGTTCTGAAAAAGATTTTGGCAACGGGCTGGGAAGGTGGCTCAGTGGTAGAGCTTTTGCCTTGCATGCTCGAGGCCCTAGGTTCGATTCCTCAGCACCACATAAGCAAAAAGAAAAAAAGCTGGAAGTGGCGCTGTGACTCAAGTGGTAGAGCGCTAGCCTTGAGCTGAAGAGCTGAGGGACAACACCCAGGCCCAGAGTTCAGGCCCCACAACCGGACCCCCCCCCAAAAAAAAGATTTTGGCAATGGATGTAAAAAAAAAGTCTGTAAGTTTTTGAGATAGAACCACTTCCACCTCTTAACGTGTGTGACACTGGTATCTTAATTTAAATTGCTCCTTTACTCCTAACAGCACACAACTCTTCCCCCTCCCCTTCTACCCCTCCCCCCCCCGCCCCTGCCTGCAGTGAGTTTTGTAGTGTGGGGAAATTAGTAGCTACCCTCAGGTTAAACTGGAGGAGTCCTAGGTGACCAGAGCTTATTGACTTACATAGCTTACATGTACAACTCTACATCCTCCTAGCACTGAGTTCTTTACACTGGTGGGATTATTGAATGTGACTAGAACTTATAGCATGCCTATTCTTGATAAAATCAAGTAAATGAGTGAGGGCTTCTGAAATCATTGGTTCCAGACATGCTACTGGTATATTTTACCTTAATTATATGTATTTTTATTTATCTTTATTTAGGCAATGCTAAAATACTGGTTTTTAACTGACATGAGAGTAAAGGTACTCTCATTTATATAATGAAAGTAAATTACAATATTCGCCTGTCATATATAAATATGTATACATACTTATATTTTTGTGTAATGTATACATATATAAATAATATACACATTTATGTACATTGGTATCTTTCCCAAAAGAACTTGAGTGCAGCATACCAAGAAAAGACATAAAATAGATAATATGAACAGAAAGGGGATATAAGACCAAGGAAAATGGAAAAAAAGATTAAAGTGTTGCCCTTACTCTGTGTTAAAATGTGATTTGGGAACATCCTGGAAGTTTAAGAGAAGAATATACCTTTGGAGGATCTGTCCTGATGAATTTTGGTAAGAATTCTCACTGGGCTTGGGGTCATTGGAGTGCCACGATGAACAGAATTTCTGATTAGACTAATGTTTGTATATTAAGGTTGTGTCTTAGTGTGAGTTGTGTGTAGTACTATTATTACTTTCAGGTGTGTGTGTTTGTTAACTAGAAGCTTGTTTCTGTAAGAAATCTTGCCCTAAGCTAAAAGTATCTGTTAAAGCTTGAAAATCCATTTGAGACAAATGGGTTAAAATCATGGAGGACTTTATGGTTTTATGTAAAATGATTATGCATTCTTGGATTAGCATGTTTACTTTACAGTACATATATTTTTTTGTTTTTTGTTTTTACAGAACAATTTAGAGAGGAAAAGTGTGACCCCCTTTCTGTCAGGTCATATCTAGAAACCCACTAGGTTGCTGCTTTGCCAAGACTCCACAGAGGCAAGAGCTTTGTCATGTGAGACTTCATTTCCACAGTCCAAAGGAGGCAACCCTCCCTGTGTGCTCTCGAGATTAGATGTCTTCTAAATGGCCTTTACTCCAAAGGTTCACTAAAGTAGATTGAGGATACGCTGAGTGCTAGATTTCCACTGGAGCACAAAGGTGTGTGTGTGTGTGTGTGTGTGTGTGTGTGTGTGTGGGTGGGTGTGGGTGGGTGTGCGGGTGTGTGTGTGTGTGTCATTTATCTTGTTAGTATTTAACAAGCATTTGTGTGTGTGTGTCATTTATTTTGTTAGTATTTAACAAGCATTTGCTCTACTCCCAGAGTTAGAGCTACTGTGAAGTTTGTGGTGAACAAAAAATTACTTCAGAAGCATCTACCACGTAGACAAATTGAACACTTAGCCTTACAGCAAATCATAGGTCATTCTTCAAGGCTGAATTCTATGGTCTATGGTCAGGCCTCTTAAGTGTTTTTTTTTTTTTTTTTTTTGCATGATCTCTAAAGAGTTGCAGTCTTTCTACCTAGAAATTCTGTGGTAAAACAGAATTGGGTCTTTTGTTGAGATTGGCTTTAATAATACGCTTGCTAACAATTAGTAAGAGAACGGTTGCAACTCTGAGGGTTTTGAGTGGGCTTGGATGAGAGCCAAGTCAACTGTGTGTTAGCCCCCTTCTGGCTGCATTCTTCACCAAGTGAGGGTGCCTCATCCTCACACGTGTGCTTTGGGGCTGCAGTGGTGCTAGCTTTGTGGTATTGGCAGGCTGCAGCCTTCTGGTTCAGCGTCTCTGTAAGTGGCCAAGTTTGTGTGTGTGTGTGTGTGTGTGTACACGTGTGCGCACACACGTTTTTGTTTTGTTTTAGCAAATGAAATCACAGCTTCAAAAGACTATAGAGTTGGAAGGCACATGGTTTACATCCTCCTGCCTGTTAAAGTTGAATGCAATTGATTTGTGGGCACCCAGGTGTCCTGTGCATTGGAAGTGCTGGGGGTCATGAATCATCAGCACAATTGGGGGCCATTGGAAACTCCAGGAGAAACAACCTTAGTTCTCAGTTCCTGAATTTAATACCTTAGTACCATGAATCCTCTGTTTCCTTAGCAACAAGTATTTTCAGCCCATCCTCAACCACAGTTCATATTTGCTCTCTTCCCTCCCACGTCCCACAGCACAGCATGCAGACATCATCTAGCAGGCACACAGAGCACCATCAGGTGCTCATGTGCTCAGACATCCCGTTTCTCCTTTGGCTCTGATGGCTTGTTTTCAGCCTCAGTCACTTGCCTACCTTGTGCCAGTGCTTGGCTTCACGGCTGAGTTGTGAAAGACTTGCCTACATGAAAACATATTTTGCCCTTGCACTTTTGAGTTTCTCCAGTGCCTTTTATGGGCCAAGTACCCACAGAAAGCCAGTCTTCACAGTAGCTCAAGTGGAGGAGACACTGTCTCATTTTCACTTGATGAAACTAAGGTTTGGGTCAAGAACCTGTGCTCTGTGTAGTTATTATATCAACCACTGGTAGCGTGAAGTTCAAACCTGAGATTTGGGCTTCGATTGAAAAGTTAGTGCTCATCTCTCTATGACCACAGTGCAGCTCAGAAAGAAAATCCGTAGTGTGTGTGTGTAACTGGTAACAGCTAGCATTGTAGCAGCAGTGAGACTAGATGAAGCAGACATGGAGGAGAAATAGCAATACACGCTGCATCCTGCACAAAAGGCACCATGGCAGTGGGCATGTTCCCCCCACAGAAAGCATTTCTGAGGGCTTTCTTTCATGGACAAGCCCTAAAGACATGGTGCCAGGATATCAACCCACGTCTCACTCAGACCTTATGCTTCTAACTACCAAATGATTTTAAG